TGTTATATTGGAATATTTCTTACATCTGGTTCCATAATTTCATAGCAGATGTTTCCACTTTTATGATGGTTTCGAGTAAATCTAGAGAGGTGGTCATGTAAATCTATTGGTTGACGATTGGTCTAGAACATTGTAAGTTTATACAATGATATGGAAAACTTCAACCCAAGATGCATAATGATCATCAGTTTAATCAGGGGTTATCTACATTGAATTTTTTTTATGTTGGTTATGGTGAAAGAAAAGTAAAAGTTGTTCTTGTTGGCTTTTTTTATTTTCATTAGGGAGCCATATAGGGTTCTATGATGGAAGGTGAGAAAGACAATAAGAGAATGAGGATAGCATCCATTGGCGAGAAGAGAAAAAGAGGAGGGGTTGCTCTTAGTCCATCAATAAACCTTATGGCTCCTAATGAGAATAACCTTTGAAATCATATTGATGATTGTTACACGTCTTGGGTTGAATTTTTCTAAATGATTACATGCACCGACAACGTTCTTCACCGCATCATGATGTTACGTGGAAGAGAAATTTATGCAATCGTCAAACAATAGAGTTACAACACACTCTCCCTAGATTTACTCCAAACCATCATGAAGCTAGGAGCATCTAACATGGAGTTATGGAACCGAATACAAGAAAACTTTCAAGATAACAAAGATGAAAAGATTTTTTCGGAAAAAAAAAAGTCGAGGTTTAATCCAAAAAAATGAAAATATAGGGGCTAAATAACAAAAATGAAAATGTAAGGGGTAAATCGAAAAAATAAAAATTATAAAAGCTAACTCGAGAAAAATAGAGAAAATGTAAGGGATTTTTCAGAAGAAAAAAATAAAGTTAAACTTTAATTTGAATATATATATATATATATATATATATATATATATATATATATATATATATATATCTTTTTTGATGAATAGTTTTTTTACAAAGAAATAATTATTAGATTTTATTATTACTTAGTATGTAATAAAAAATTATTATTTTAAAATAAAATAATTATGTTTAGACCTTATATTTATATTGTCGGTTTATAAATTTGATGTAAATTATATAATATCAGTGTCTAGTTTAATAAATATAAATTAATTTATATACATGAATCTAATATTTTAAAATTATTATTTTGCTTTAAATTAAATTTCTTAATAACCTTCTTTAATTCACGTTTTCAAACTTTTGGCAAGTATTAATGATATATTTATGTATAATTTATTTGTACAAAAGCTTTTAAAATTCAAGCTTTTTATTTTTATGCATTTTTATGATTTTTTTAGAACCTAAACCTATATATATATATATATATATATATATATATATATATATATATATATATATATATATATATATATATATATATATATAGAGAGAGAGAGAGAGAGAGAGTGTGTGTCAAGATCAAATAAGAAGGAAATTTTTGGTAGGAAGGTAATAAGTTTTTTTTCAATACATTTTTTTCGCGAACAAACAAAATGAATCATTAGATGATTCATTTGTAAGATGATTCACAAGAAAAAATTCTCAAAAAAACATCTCGATGATTCATTTATACAATGATTTTGTTGTTATTCACTAAAATTGTCATAAAAGTGAATTTTTTCTTAATTTACTTAAAAATGAATCATAAAGATGTTTTTTTGGGAATTTTTTCTTGTGAATCATCTTACAAATGAATCATCTAGTGATTCATTATTTTGTTCGCCAAAAAAATATATAGAAAAAAAACTTCTTACCTTCCTACCAAAAATTTCTTTCTTACCGTATATATATATATATATATATATATATATATATATATATATATATATATATATATATATATATATATATATATATATATATATATGGCTTACTCGCTCCTTTTCAAAAAAAATCGTCAAATCTTTTTTTTAGCCTAGATATGGTTTAGTCATTGCTTTTGAAGACCAATAATGGTCTTTGTTTTGAAAAATGATGAACACTTTAGGAGTTCTCTCGCAATAACTTAACCATATTAAATATTTAATAAATTAAAAATAAGGAGAGAAGAAATTAGAGGGACTAGAAAAAGGTCGGGAGTTCAATCCCTGCAAAACCCAAAAATGGGTGCCTTTTAAACTTGTGCCACAATCGGGGTTGGGTTCGTCCTGCAAAGGAACTCAAACACGGGATACTCGTTGAAATATGCGAGTAGGTTTCTGTTGAATCATTTGCGGTTTCCAAACAAAATAATAAATAAATAAAAAGAGAGAGAGAGAGAGGGGAAAGATTATGTAAAGTTGAGAGTAATTGAGATGCAAGGCTTAAGGTCTAATTTATAAGATGCCGTTGACAAAATTAAAAAAGAAATTGGGTATGTACTGGTGTGATGTGAAGATGATGTACGTATATAATTATTTTTTTATTAATTATTATGACCAACCAGTTGTACAGCTTTCTGACAAAAACCGAAGTGAGGCAAACCTTATTATATAATATTATTATCTTAAAAGTTAAAAAATAGTTCCAACTTCTGGCATGTCTATATAAATACTTCTCCTCCTCGTGGGTTCTCAAATACATTCCAGCATTTCCTTCTCTCACACACATTCATCATTCATCATTCCTCATTCCCATTTCCAACTCCCTAAGTCTCTCATTCCTTTCCTTTCCTTTTTTTTGGGATTCTTAGCAACCAATTAAGTTAAGTAAGTATGTGGGGTCTTGCTCTTACAGCCATGGTTGTGGTGGGCATTACTCATTGGCTTTACAGATGGTGGAACCCTAAATGCAACGGGAATCTCCCCCCTGGTTCAATGGGTTGGCCATTACTAGGTGAAACCCTTCATTTCTTCGCTCCTAATCCAACCTGGGATACTCCTCCCTTTGTCAAAGAGAGGATCAAAAGGTGATCGTATATATATGAATATTACATTATTACATTATTTTATGCCTCCTAATCATTGAATTCTCACATTAAGTAATGATATTTCAGATATGGGTCAATATTCCGAACTAGTTTGGTTGGGAGGCCGGTTGTAGTCTCAACTGATTCAGATCTTAATTATATCATCTTCCAGCAAGAAGGCCAGTTGTTTCAAAGCTGGTATCCAGATAGCTTTACCGAAGTTTTTGGGAGACAGAATGTAGGATCTTTGCATGGATATATGTACAAATATCTTAAGAACATGGTCTTATATTTATTTGGTCCTGAAAGTCTCAAAAAGATGCTTCATGAAGTAGAACACGTGGCAGCTATAAACTTACAGAAATGGGCTGCCCAGGATTCGGTGGAATTGAAGGAAGCAACTGCAAATGTAATTAATTAAGGCCTTCTCATGTAACAATATATAAAAAATTTCTTTTTTCTAATATATCAACTTTTTGTTTGTAGATGATATTTGATCTGACTGCAAAAAAGTTGATAAGTTATGATCCGGAGAAATCATCCGAGAATCTGAGGGAGAATTTTGTAGCTTTTATACAGGGATTAATTTCCTTCCCTTTGGACATTCCTGGAACAGCTTACCACAAGTGTCTAGAGGTACGTACACACAAACACAAATTAATTAAATCTGATTTCTTTTTATATAATTTCTGCTGATTTATTGATTAATTGTATAACCAGGGAAGAAGGAAGGCAATGACGATGCTGAAGAGCATGCTAGAAGAGAGGCGAGCAAAGCCAAGAGAGGTGAAAAGTGATTTCTTCGATTACTTACTTGAAGAACTTGAAAGAGGTGATTCCATACTTACAGAGGCAATCGCCATGGATTTGATGTTTGTGCTATTGTTTGCGAGCTTTGAAACAACTTCTCTCGCCATAACAGTAGCTATTAAGCTTCTGAAAGAGAATCCTCGTGTATTGCAGGCATTAACGGTAATTATACAAACATTTAGTTTTTTTACTTATTTACCTTTTAAGTTTAGTTAATTTATAAACCCCCGCTAATTAATTACCTGATTTTGCAGGAAGAGCATGAGAGTATACTAAGAAACAGGGAAAATACAGAGTCTGGACTTACATGGAAAGAATATAAGTCCATGACATTCACGTTTCAGCTTATAAACGAAACAGTGCGTCTGGCTAACATAGTTCCAGGGGTATTCAGGAAAGCACTTAAAGATATCAAGTTCAAAGGTATACATTCAGACGATCGATCTACTCATCTTATAAACTGTTTTAAAATTTAAATAATTAACTTTGTGAATGCGTGTTTTTAAAATGACATTTTTTGATACATGCAGACTATACAATTCCCGCTGGTTGGGCAGTAATGGTATGTCCTCCAGCCGTACACTTAAACCCGGACAATTATAAAGATCCGCTGGAATTCAATCCATGGAGATGGGAGGTATGCGTATGCCATTTGCCATGAGTCTTACTTATCAATCATGCATGCTGAAATTAAATAGATAAAAAAAAATGTTATATTTAATCATGTATTGCCAAACAGAGGATGGATCAGAAAGGTGCATCAAAGAACTTTATGGCTTTTGGTGGTGGCATGAGGTTTTGTGTTGGAACTGATTTCACTAAACTACAGATGGCTGTGTTTCTTCACTGCATAGTCACCAAATACAGGTAAAAACTCATCATACATGTTGTGACATGTGTGTGTATGAGAGAGAGAGAGATGTGAACTAACATGATTTTCTGCTAAAAATTGGCAGGTGGCGACTTGTGGGAGGAGGAGAAATTGTACGAACGCCTGGTTTACAGTTTCCAAATGGGTTTCATGTTGAGATCACAGAGAAAGACAAACAGAATCAAGAATCTGATACTAATCCAAGACAATAGGATCCCTGTTGTAAAACAATCACCAACTTCCTGAAAATGTATGTGAGTAAGCTGAGGAAAATTTTGCTCAGGAGCATGTCAAGCACAATGCTTAGAAAATGTATAAGTTTACAGAAGCAAGAAATGAAAAATGTACAATGTTCTAACACTTGTAATATACAAATTTTTTACTCAAATCCTTAATTAAGAGCCAAAAGCAAACGCGAAAATTCATTACAAAAAACAAGAAAGAGTTGATTCATGGTATCGAATTCCTTCTCTTATGCTTATGGTGTTTGTCTTTGTCTTTGTCATGCCTTGGAACATGTTTGTCCTTATGATGTTCCTTGAGTATCTCATCACCATGTCTGTGTTTTTCTTTCTTAACATGGTGAAGATGATCATGGTCAGAATGATTGTGGCTGTGTTGGTATTGGTGTTGGTGTTCCAGATATTTGATTTTTCCCTTTTTATGAGCATGAGCAGCAGCCTTATGATGTTTTCGATCCTTCTCTTTCTTATGATGTTTCTTATAATGGAGTTGCAAGTTTCTAATATGTTGGGCTTTTCGATCATCATCCCAAAAATGGTCTTCCCACCAGTCATACACAGGATCAAAAACTCCATTCTCATGTAGAAGCCACAGTAGGACAATCACTGCAACTCAAGAAAAATAAAGTTGAATATTTACTCAAAATTGATTCCCAATAAAGTCAAAAGCTTACCTGTAGGGAAGATTGCAAAAACCGAACCAAACATCAACACCCATTTCATACAGAGATAATGGAAATGGCAATGAAAGTCAAAAAGCCCAGAGCATTTTGCACTGCCAACATGGATAAAAAGTATCAACTGTTACTGAATGATCCTGATTTCTCATTTTAATTAAATATTTAATTGGTAGAAGAGAAATATAACCTGCAAGCTTTTCCAGTGATAAATTCAATCATACTATGCCAAAGCGTGAAAAACATATCCTCAATAGATTCAAAGAAACCTTTTAAACCATGCTTTGGTGGTTCCCATGGAATCTGGAAGATAATAAATATTGTGAAACCAAACCAAACCAAACCAAACCAAATCCTTGATTTATCAATAATTTAATTTGGCATACCACTGATCCATTGTCCAGAATTGTGGCTGTTGTTGTAAACTGGCACTCTGCTCTATCAGCTTCTTGAAAATCAGAATCCTTCAGTATAGCTGCTTGCGCAATATATATATAAGATTGTGTTTTAACTTTTAAGTAAGCAATGCATGATTTTAAGAAAAGAAATACTATGTTGAGAAAAATGACGAACCCGTCCCTACCTGAACATGCATACCTTGCAGCCTGATCAGACATCGGGTACACCTTGAAAGATCTGGTTGCCATTTCTTTTGGCTTCAAAATGAAAAATTGTTCCTGCATAAAACAAAAATAACATTCAAATCATTTACTTTACCAATATTTCATTTCATATTACAAATAAATAGCTTATTATACCTCCATCTGGCTGATACCTATGGAACAATCAAACTGCAAAGATCGAAAGAGTAAAAAGTTAAAACATACAATTATTATTAAGTTAGATAAATCATAAATAAAATGTTTCCTAGAATACCGTTAAGCTATACGATGCTTCCACTTCACCAATATTTCTAGCTGTGATTGTGGCAGTCCCGAACTGAGTAAGAGCTTCAAAATTTGGGATTGTGATTCTTTCAATTTTTCCAGGGCTCCTACAAACAATATATACAGTAAAAACAAAGATAGATTTACAGACTTTTATATGATATATATATATATATATATATATATATATATATATATGCATTTAACAAGAGCTAGTATCGACCTTTGGTACACAAATTCTATGTCATCAGCACTAAGTTCTATCAAAAGGTTTGAATTAAGAACTTCAGTGATCCCAATTGAGAACGATTGACTTCCTGCATTCTGCATCAATAATACAAAACATGAGAGGGAATTATTTTATTATAGAAATTTAAAATCATTGAAACCATACTGGATGTTGATTGATTCTTTCAAATCTCCCTTGCACACCATAAAGAGGAACCAGGTTTCGTTGGATTCGGTTCTGGTCAGCCTGTGACAAAAAAATTAAGTCAAGAAATACAGTATGATTATATTTGTATTACAATCTAAAAAACATTAATGAAGGGATTCAGGGAAGACTAATATTTTATATACTCACGTCCCAAAAGTTCCACAATTGATTTTGCAGACAAGCCCAAAAAGGAGCAGAACAGAAATTTGGCTGGTTATTAAAAGCATCATAACCGACACCAATTTTATTACATTCATTTCCATCTAATGTGAATCTGACTCTCTCAAGAAGCATCCACATAGAAATGTTCCTTCCTAAATCTTGTGGTTGACCTGGGCTACCCTTGATCAACAATTAAAACAAACACAGCCACCCATAAAATGATCAACAAGTAACATAAGCTTTTATTTTACAAACATTGCATGCATTATATTTATACCTGTCTTGGAACAACAAGAAAGAAATTCTCAAAAGAAGGTACATCATTGTATCCAACATAGTCCCCAATTAAATTCACCCTCAAAAAGTTATCACTTGACAGGGCTGTTCTATTCCCAGGACTGATAACTAATTCCTGTTAGAACAGAGTAAGTTGTGAGACATACAAAATCATCCCTACACATAGTTAAGTTATGTGGTGAAGGAAACCAGACACATACAGAGACTTTAGACCCTGTTTTGACTTTAACCCTTATGGTGAATCCTATTGAATGCTGCCCAATTCCAAACACATGGAACCTAACAAGACACCAGAAACTAGTATGAAAGAAACAGCATATGGAAAATATCAGAAGAATCAGTAGAAAGTAGAAAAAGATGTGAAAAGAATATCAGACTCCATACCAATCACCTGGAAAACGAAGGCAGTGTGCAGTGTTGGCCTTCCCTTTGGTCAACTTATCAACTGTTAAAATAAATAAATAAAGATATGATATGATATTAGAAGTAACATACAGATACAGTGAGAATTTACAGTAATTAGATTGACAGGACTTACAAAAATTTCCACATGATGAAGGCACCCTACGGTGACCCCCACAAGGACAACAAATTGGCTATCCAATGATTCGGAAAATAAGAATAACAGAAGATGAAGTTTTGATCAGAAATGATGTCTCAGAAGATATAAGTATCATAATCAGAGCTTAAAACAAGTTCCAGATCACTAAAACAATGATGAACATGCTCATGCATGTTCCTAAAAAAAGAGGATATTCCCAATATATTACCCGGGTGTTCTCAATGACATGTCCTTGCTCATCTAGTAACCTGAGTCACACATTAACGGGTCAAATTTCAAGTCAATTGTACATAAACTTGAGCTATAACATGAAAAGAATACAGTGCTAAATTGCCAAAAGAGAACACATACATGCATACATGCACAAAAGTGAGTGCCTCTATCCAAGTATGGACTTAAAACCTAAAAGATGAAGGTCAAACATTGTACTACTTACGTCTCACACATGCCCACAACATTAGCACCAGCATAACGACTACACTTGCGTGTCTTAAAAGACAGCTCTAGAGGTTTATAAGGAACATCCTGCAAATAGAACGTGATTCAGATTTTAAACATAAAAGGTCAAGAAATTCAGAAGGAAGGGGTTTTCAAAATTTAAGGAATGTTATCAATTGCCAGCTGATCTCCATCAAATTGAAAGCTGATTAAAGCAGTTTATCCCATCCTGAACATTGTGGAGTTTTGCTAATCTCTCTCTCTCTCTGATGATGATGGTATACATACAATGCTTGCTTCAGACAGTATATAATGATACTCGTATGAATTAATTTAATGGTTGCATTGAAGTATAAATTCATGGATTTGGGGATAGTGCATATTTTATAGACACCAACGTCTCAGTTTGACCCACACAAATTCAAGCTTAAGAGCATGACCTGATACAAGCTCTAATAAGCTCTGTAAACCTAGATTGAGCCTGGAAAAAGAGAAAACAAATTGTTGCTGCAGAAGAGAGTTTGTATACTTAGGACCTTATTTTCAGGGAATACAATTCTTATTGATCTTAAATGGTGAAGTGATTGCAAATATGAGGAGTTTGGCCTAGACAAGTAAACAGAGGGACATATTTTACACAATTCCTACTATGTACATGAACTGAAATCATGGCTATAACTATAATAATTTTATGATTTTATCGCACCAAGTCAAAATGAAAAAGAAGAATGTGCCTGTAGATACAACATGAAATAAAGTAACATGAACTCGATTCACTGAAAAAGAAACCCTACGCTAACCCGAAGCAAGTTCTGAAATACATACTCTAATGTACGTCAAGTGATATTGCGCATAGGCGGCAGACTTATTGACAGTGATCACCGGCGGTTCTCGAACAGTTCTCATGTTATCAGTCGATTTTTCCTCCACCTCCACCACTTCGGCCACAATCGATGCTTCGTTGCCGCTCTAAAACAAAGGAAAACAAAAATCAAGCATTAATCGGCCTAAAACACGCACCACACAGATCGAATCACCCACAGGAACACTTACTGCTTCACTAGGAACGGCCAAATTGATGACGATTTTTTTGGTGCAGTTAAGAGGAGCATTTTCAGAAACCTTTTCGCATTTTTCAAGCTTCGATTTGGAGAGGAGTTGGACGCCGCCATTGACGAGATGACAAGAGATAAATAGAAAGAAGACGGCGATCGTTATGCAAGGTCTCATTTCGATGAACATGAGTGTGAAGTGTGCGAAACCCTTCTGAGAATGAAGGAGATAAAGTGGGGCTGCTATGGCGGGTGTAACTGCCTCTGCTTTAAGCAGTTGAGTTTTTCGAAAATCAGAGCGCCAGTCCACCGATCAGTGAAAATAATAATTTACGTCAAAACTTTTCTGGGTATTAACTTTAATTCTTTAATTCGATATCATATCATATAAAAATAATATGGAAATTCATCGGTTTTTAATAAATAAAACTAAAACATGAATAATAAAATCATGCATCAATGCTTATATTATACGCGTCCCTTTTGTTAACTCAAAAGTTTTCCTTTTTCATAAGTACACAAATTTTATTTTATTTTGAGTAAATTACACGAATGGTCCCTATGGTTTAAGGTAATTTGCATGTTTGGTCCCTAATTTATTTTTTTAACTTGGAAGGTCCCTACTGTTTGTTTTTGTTACGCGTTTAGTCTCTTTCTTACCTAAAAAGACAATTTTACTATTGATTTTTAATTTATTTAAATAAACACACCCTCAACCTCAGCTCCTCACTTTACCTTACATACTCCATCATTTTTTTCTATTTAAATAATAGTCTTTTTAGGTAAGACAGGGACCAAACACGTAACAAAAATAAACAGTTGAGACCAAGCGCATAACAAAAACAAACAGTAGAGACTTTCCGAGTTAAAAAAATAAGTTAGGGACCAAACACGCAAATTACCTCAAACCATAGGGAACATCCATGTAATTTACTCTTTTATTTTATGTTTTTACCATCAAACACGTAGCAATCAATTAAAAATACTTTAGTCATTTATCATTTCTGGTGATTATTTAGATGACCTTCGTATGTTTATCCTAAAATTCCCTTAACAAAACCTTGCAAATATCACATCACATGTAATTTACCTTTTCACCACATTTTTATTAACAAAATTCAAATCATATAACATTACTTTAAAACAAAATAAACTTGAGACGTTTTGTCATTATATGAATTTGTACTTTAATATTAGAATTCCTTAAATCAGTTTTCATTACAAGTGATGTACAACCAAATATCGTATCCTAACCAGTAACTACGTATCAAAAATACAAAAATTTACACAACAGAAAACAAGAATTAAGAATATTGAACCAAAGTCTTCATCATATTAACATCAACCAAATACTAAGCAATCATAAAACCATATCACGTCTGTCTTCACCGGTTATCACATCGCCATTTGGAAGTAGGAACACAGCTCAAGTAATGGCACCAGCTGCAGTGATCATTCCCATTTTCTCCCTTGAAAAGCATCACAAGTCCCACCGTAAATCTGCTCCCAATAAAAAAAATCATTTAATCACTGTAGACAATAATCGATAAAATGATGAAAGTGTTATAATTGTTGAAGAGAAAGCTTGCTTACCCAACAATCAATAAAATCGCGGATATAATCCAAAAGACATATTGATAGACTGTGTACTTGGACTTGCCACGAGCATCAGCAGGAAGACGGCGGCGTTCTTGCCATGAAAATTGGGGTCTCATAAGAAGTACAAATCCAAGGAGGAATCCCGTTAAAAAACCCCCGATATGTGCAAAGTTGTCAACATGAGGAAGCATTCCAACTGCTAAATTCACCAAGATTATGATCACAAGTGTAAACAAAGCCGCCGCCTACAAAACAACACATACGTCAGATTCAAATTGACATCAGTCCCAGTCGCAGTCAAACACAGTACAACTTGTTATGTTTTGTCCTGCGTAACAAATTATAAATCATGTATATAATGAGAGTACGCACCTTATTAGCATAAATAGTCCAATTGGTAAGAAGCTCAGACAACATTGCTCCAAGAAGTCCAAATAGAGCACCGGAAGCCCCAACAGAGATGTTGCTTGTTATGAAAAGTGCAGATAGTGTGCTACCACCGATCCCGGCCAACATGTAGAGTATACCAACTCGAACTGTAATAAATTTATATGTGTTTAATAATTAGTAGGTAAAAAATTAGATAAAAGTTTTTTTTTAAATGAGATATGTCTTTAACTAAAGGGAATTAAAGATGTACCGAAACCAAATTGTTGTTCGAGGCGAATCCCGATGAAAACCAAGCTTAACATGTTTGCAAGTAGATGAACGACTCCCGCATGCAACCAAATACAAGATATGAGTCTCCATGCTTCATGTCCATTCACCACCTTACTCCGCTCTAGAGCTCCCAACTTTTCCAATCTATAATTCAATCAAACCGATCATAAATCGACATGTCATGAACAAGAATAAACTGAGATATTGATTATGCCACGAAATAAATATATATAAAGTGGACAAATAGAACTGGTTGTGCTGGGTTTGGCGTGCATTGGACTAAGACTGTCACTTTTGTCAATGGATAAAAAAGATGGGACAGTAACACAGACTCGCTCTTGATCTCTCATATGTGCAAAAGACGTCAATGCCCCCCTCATCCTCATTATCGAGAATAACCCTAGAAAGCTTGTCATGTCTCATGTAACAAACTACAAGCCTAGCCTTAAAGGCCAAAGCCAAATCATAAACAAAAAGTAAATCACAAAAGAAAATCTTGATTAAGTAGAAAAGCTTCCATTAAGGCCTAATCATAAAGAACAGGTATCTTTAACATGATAATGCTTTATATGGGTACGATAAAAAAAACTTCCATAAAGAATATAATCTAGAATCATCATTTAAAAAAAAAAAAAAAAAAAAAAAAAACCCAAAATCATAATAAAGAATAACCTTTTATATCGTTGAGTATTGGGTATGTAAGGAAAATTTCCCATGTCAACCAAATAGCTCCAAATAATCAATTAACACAACCATAATGAGTTCATAAAGTAGAATATTCCCAAATCATAATCAAGAATCATCATGTTACTGGAAACCCCTAAATCAATCAAGAATCAGCTTTTTACATAAATTAGCTGAATGGGTTGGTATGCTAGAGAAACATCCAATCCCAGATCACAATCAAGAATCCTAATTTACAGAATTGCTCTAAATGAATCAAAGTTTAGGCTTGACATAACTTAACTAAATGGGTATAGAAAAAAGGATTCAAATGTCAACCAAAAGAGCTTAGGTTTTCAATAAACATAAGAACCCTAATGAGGGGGTATATATTAAAGAAGAAAATTCCCGAATCATAACACAGAGAATGATAAAACATCAAATGGGCACAAGTGAGAAACACTTACGTGGAAGAAGAAGGACCGAAAAGCGGGTTCTCTTTAAGAGGCTGAAAAGATAGTCTACCAAGAAATTTAGCAACACAATCCCCCTCAAGACTCGAATTGTGGTTCTTGGGACAATCATTAACAATCATGACGACAAGAAACATAGCCACATTTGCAACAACAATCATAGGAACGAGCCATGAAGTCCATTGTTTGTCCGATGATTCAGTGTGATACGTAGAAGACGCCGGCGGTGGTGCCGGTGGTGGTGCACCTCTGTTCTTTGTACTTCCCCAGCTCTCCAGATCTCCATTACCCATCTGTATTGATTCGTTTGTTGGAAGGTAGGATATTATTGCTTAAAATTATATCAAACGAGTATATGTCAACTGTAATCGTGTATGTATATATATACAAAGTGTTTAGGAGGTAACTTAGAAGGAATGGAAGAAAGAGAGATTGCAAACGGGTGGTGGATTCACATTTCACAGTGGGGTAGCTTGTCTGTCGATTTCATGTTAGGTGATCCGCTGCTAATACGCGTAACGCCTTACCGGTTCACTCGTTTCGCGTTTTCCAATTGTAATTTGCACGTAAATAAGTTTCTTTTAACAAAACAAATTAAACATCTTGTCTTTTTATTTGTAAAATAAATAAGGACCATATGTCTATATTTGATTTACTTTAAAATGTTTGATAAATCAATGATTTCGGAAAATATTGGCATTGACTTTGTAAATTAATGGTTGCATAAATTATAATTCATGGTGGTTTGCCAATGTTTCTAATTCATTCAACGTCATGGAATTTTTCTTTTTTTATTATTATTTTTATATTTTCAACTCATAATACACTACACGAAAATAACATATTTCTCAACTCGTTCAATTGAAAACAACATATATACAAGTTCTTAAGCCTATAGTACATGGGAAGAGAAGAATGGATGAAATTGGGTTGGATAGAAGCTTGGATATCCCGCTAAATGAAGTATATGTAAAATACCACTATTGGATGGGCAATGATCTTAAAGTTTCTACAATAAAAATAAACAAATAAATATATAAAAGTACATTAAATCACCTGGATAGAAGCTTGGGTGATGTTTGGTTCGCAAAATGTTTATGAAGGAATTGGAATTGAAGTCGGAAAATGAATATGTTAGGAATTTGATACCAACTCCATATTTTGTTTGGTTGCTAGGAAAATGGTTTAGAAACGGAATTCCATACAAAAAAGTCTATGTTCCATAGGCCGTTCATATATTGGGTTTACCATTTAAAAAAATTATTTGTAGGATTCATAATAAGTTTTGTAACAAAAATTGAGATTTTTGGTTTGTTAAGTGGCGATAATTTAACACCTAGTGAAAAAGCGCTCATATTTAGGGGTTGTTTGGATAAATTAGATTATAGCTTATTAGCTTATTGCTTATTAGCTTATTTGTAGTGGGAATAAGCAATAAACAAGGTGGGAGATGCTTATTAAAATCAGCTTATTTAGTTTATCCCTACCACAATAAGCTTATTTTTAAGGATTCTTATTCAAACATTTAAACTTAGCTTATTGTGGTGGGAATAACAATAAGCAATAAACATCCTCTTTTTTTCCCTATCCAAACACCCCCTTACATGTTCTTACGGCATCTACAATAGGTTGTGAAAAAAAAATCAAACAGAAGAGTTTGGTTTGTCATTTTTAGAAAAAAATGAATTTTTGAATATAAAATACCGAAGCAAAATATCCAAAATTATGGCGTTTTATGTATACGTTTAATTGACTAAATACATTATAACCATTATTCATTTATAGTATTTACTGAAAATTATAATAATAAACATACATTATATCATCTCGTATTAATTTTTAGTAAAAGAAAAGTTTCTTAAATTTTAGTAGCATGGTTAACAAAGAAAAAAAAAATCAGTTTGGTTTTTCAAACTCAAAAAACGAGTTTTCAGTTGGAAATAAGGTTATTTATTTATTTCAATAGCCTATTGGATCAAATAACGTTTGATAACCGTAGAACCCTATTGTGCAGGCTTTCTTAATATTGATTGTAAATTTACAAGGTTGTGCATCGAATTTTTTCATATTTTATAAATATTATATTCATATGTTTTATAAATTTTTATTGGTAAGATTATAAATAAGCTTTGTAAAAAAAAATCCCTAACTGTTGATGTTTGTTTAGCCTTCTGGTTTGTAGGCATGTCAAATTTCAATTGTGTGACCAAAAACTTATTCAGAAAACTTCCTATTGTGGATATTTGTTAATATTTTAGTTATTCAAGTTAATTATGTTTAAGCATGAAGTTAGGTAGAACTATATGCTTTGAAGATCCTTCATAGACCAAATAATTTTTGACGTACGTATGAATTACGTTAGCCCGATCACAAAGTAACAAAGAACATGTTTGATGTTCCTGTCCATTCTTAAAAAAAGCAAGCATGCAATTTTTATATAGTAACCAAATTTTCCTAGTAATTACAAAAATGATAACAAACTTTCGTTAATTAAAACAAAGCACATGATATGTCTTTTTTTTTTTAAATCATGGAGTGGATTATGAATCCAGTTGTGATAAACATACTAAATACTAAATATTAAATAAATAAATAAATAACCTTGTTTCGATTAAGCATTTTAATTGGTTTGGAAAATAAAATTAAATAAACTCTCAATCAAGTTTGATCTTGACAAACATGGTATAGACTTTGATACCCTTTAGTTGTGTGTTACTTGTGACTTGGGAAGTGGGAACTACCACATTGGACCATATATACATTATTTACATGTCCTCTTATAAGTGATATTTGCTCTCAGTTGGCGAGGTGGTTTTTTTTTTTTTTGACTCGGCGAACTTTATCAGTTACGAGTACTTGTTCAAATAACTTAAGGATGACTACCTTTCATAAAAAGTGTCTTGAGGCTGTGAATCTTACGATTTTTTGGACGATTTGAAAGTTTTACGACATAATTTTTGAAATGACTAAACGAGAAAATACAACTATTTTTATTTATAATTACGTATTCTTATTTTGGTTCTACAATAGGAGTAACAATTTAGACTCAAAATTAATTGGGTATGGCTTCAAAACTTAATATTATTATAAGTTTTATGTAATTATCATGTTGTGCCTATCATCTTGCTAGGCTTTTAATGTAACTCTCCTGTTCCAAAAAAAACTAAAAAAAGTATGCATTAATGTTTTGAGCTTTTTCTAGAATATGAAATTATATTATTTTTTGTGATATTCATTAAATAACTATATCTTGTAACATTATATCAGAAAATAACCATATTTTTTTGATAGCATAAATGGCCACCAAACAATATGAGTTGTCAAACTCAATTATTATTTTCACAATTCAACCACAATTTTGGAAATCTTGTTCCAAATTTCTTTGTGTATTCCATGTAAACTCTTCTCATACAAATGACATGTTTCCCTCTATGGGAATCTAATTATACCTTTAAATAACAAGCAAGCTACTTGTAGGAAAAATATATTACTAATGCACAAAAAACAAACTAGAGATTAGAAATTATAAAAATTTAAAAACTTACAGCACAACTGTACTGATGGTTTCAGGTTAATTGGTTGCAAGATTTGATCCTATTTAAAAACTTACCAACCATCAACAAAACGAAGAAAAAGAAAAAAAAAATTAAGATATCTTACAGATGCCATAAAAAAGAAGCAATGTCAAATAAAAAAAAATAAAGAGAGTACATGAAAAGCAAGTTTCTTTTTTGTCATTGCCTTGTTCTTATGCTGCTTTAGCTGTAATACAAGCAATCGAAAGCTTTGAAAGCAGACCACATAGTTGAAGATATGAACCAACTCCCTCACAGATCCTCATATGTGCAAATCCAGTTTCCTGCAATTTTTTATATTTAATAAATAACTTTTTTTTTTATAAAATTAAAGTTGTTACCTTCATGAATTCCAGTTTCAGATACTCTGCCATGTCATAATTCTTTATGATTCTGAAAAGGGTAGTGATGATATCAGTTGGTGAATATCCCAAATCATAAAGCTGCTTCAGACCAGAACAAGCATCATCAAATTTTCCTTCTACAACATTCCGGACCATATTTTTCACATGCAAAGGATGAGGCTGATCACACACCTGAAAACCCAATAAAATAAGAATAATTTTTAATCAACGTTTTAAAGATAGTAAATATGATTATTTGAATTTGTGACCTTAAAAACATTTTCTTGATTAACAAATCGAAATCCAGTATAAGTTGCTTGTAAATTATTCAAAGCCTGTCGCATATCACCATCAGCAGTAAAAATAATCGCTTCAAGCCCTTCTGGGACATATGCCACCTACATTAGTATAGTGATAATATCAGTAAGGGTAGAATTGGAAAAGATTTTTAAAGTAATATAAAGGGTTACCTTTTCTGCCTCAACCACAACCATGAGCCGACCAAGGATTTCTTGATCAGATAACCTGGAAAATCGCACAAGGGCACATCTACTCTGAATGGGTTCAATTATTTTTGCAGATGTGTTGCATGCAAGGGCAAAACGGGTAGAGTTTGAATATATTTCCATTGTTCTCCTCAGTGCTTGTTGTGCTCCAGATGTCATGCTGAATCAATGATCCCCAAATTTAAAGTTAAAATGCAACTTATGAGAGAATAATATAAAAAATGATGTTGAAAGATGAAACCCTAGAACAAGATACCTGTCAGCTTCATCCAAAATGATTACTTTGTGCCTTCCAGGGGGTAGAGTGACTTTCTTCTGTGCAAACATCTTAATTTTGTTTCTCACAACATCAATACCTCTGAAAGGAAAAATGAAAAAGAATGGTGAGCTTGAAAGATAGGCAAACAGATTGAGAAATGTGGATATGAAATTATGAATTAGCACAGTACGCAGACCTGTCATCTGATGCATTAAGCTCTAAAACTCCCTCTTTGTAATTTGGTCCAAGTAACTCATGAGCAAGAGCTAATATGCTTGTGGTCTTACCTGTTCCAGGAGGACCCTGAAAATGCATAAACAGAGTAATGCTCAAGACAGTATATTACTCAATCAAGATAAACTATGCATGTGTCCACACTACACTATGTACAAATCACTCTACTATCAATCGTTAATGATCGGATTAGCAAATGCATGACTGAAAAATCAATGGAGTATACTTCATAGCAATTGACTGTTTAAGTAACGCTGTTACTTGAATCAAAAAGACAACTTCTTTACTGGAAACATGAAACAAAACCACCAGCTAGGCATTATCATTCCAAATATAATCCATTTTGATATATTAGATTCAAACATCTACACCAATGTCAAATTCGCCTTAAGGAAACCAGGGGTGAGTTGAAAGATTAGAAAAGAGAAAACGAAACAAGTTAAGGTGATAATAGAGCTTCCATAAAAGCCCTAAAAGTGAATACTTTACCATGGTCAGTAAAGCTACTTGAGCGGATCAGTTTAAAGTTTGTTATAAAACTTAGTGAATGAGTACAATATTCCTAGCAACATACAGGAAACAAAAGAAAATGTAAATCGACTTTAACAACTCTTTCGTTCCCGTGCATCTGTAAATGAGTCCACTGCAATAATCAATTTGATCATAAAATTAGGGTTTGCTTACTTACAGCTAAGATGAGATTTGGCATGTTACCATCGTGCGCAATTACTTGAAGCCTGGAGACGGCATCTTCGTTCCCGACAATGTCTGCCACTTTTGTAGGTCTGAACTTCTCAACCCATGGAATTTCGTAGCCATGGCTTGATGACAAGGAAGCTGATGAAGAAGCCATAGAAATCTGTGGTCAGGGAAATCGGACCTCACTACTGTAAGAAACCCTAGAGAGTTCAAAATGGAGGGAAAATGGCAAGGAGAGGGAGTATAATGTATATATAATATACCCTAACTTTTCTCCCCTTTGCTATTGAAACTTTTTTTAGTTTTGGCACTCGTATTACGGTTTGGTTCTTTTCCATCCCCTAATTGGGGGTGGGGCTTATCCATTATCCTATTGTTTTCAAAATATTTTAAATTTATTAGAGGAATTGGAAATGAGAAATTTTATTGTTAATACAAATATTCCTACCCAATTAAATAGTGAAATATGTAACATTTAATGTTCAATTAATGATATTTTAGCATATAAATATGACACATGTCATCATTTCATTGTGTAGAAGGATTTGTAGGAACAAAAGTAGGATGATATTTAATTTCTCATTGGAAATTAATGGATTTGGAATTCAAAAAACTAAAATCATATGGAATATTTGGTTAACAAAAATCAGATGTGAATTCAATGCAACTGATTATGTAAAAGTGAAGTGAATTACAAATTTGTCCTTGTGGACTTTATTTGCACTTGCATCTCACGATGTGCCATTGCAAAATTAAAGAAAAATGGATGTTAAGCCAACTATTGTAAGACCTATATGTTACATGGGTTAATTCAAAAAAAAATGAATATAAAGTTCTAAATATTTAAGAATTTTGGAGTTATAAAAAAATAAGAAAAATAATGAATTATTAAAATTGATTATTTTTATCTTATAAATTTAAATAAATAAACAAAATAAACTAATGAACTTTAATTTGTGAATTTGAAATAAGAAGGTAATTCCATTAATGAAAATGATATTAATTTATTACTAAATTATTGTAATTATTACATTAAATAATTATGTGGAATTTATTAAAATAGAAAAATTCATAAAATGACACGTGGAAAATAATTTAAATCAAAATAGCCATAAAATAACATTTGACAAATTGAATGAGAATGTGACATACGCAAAAAAAAACTTTCATTTATTAGAGTAGATATGATAAAATCAAAACTCCAAACATAAAATTGATAAATTAATTTCGTGGGACCTAAAATTGAATTAAAACCAAATATCAAAAAAATAAAGGTTATTATTGCTTTTTTAAAACTAATTTTTAGGAATATATTGACGTTGTCAAATAACCGATTTTATATTTTAACAATATAATAAACTTATTTTTTTTCGATTTCCTCCTATCTAAGGTTTAACAGGCTACCTATATTTCCAATTTTATACTATTAGCCCATATTTTAGATATAAATTTGGTTAGAATTTAAATTTTTTTGTTATGAATTGTCCAAAATATAGTTTTTTTACAAATTTATTATTCTACAACATTTTTACAATGGGATATAAGATTTTTCCAACTTTAAAAATATATATATATTACAATTTTTTCTCAACTTTTTTTTCTAGCTTTTGCATTGTCTCATATACATTATCAAACCAAATTTTCTCGATGATTGTGCGACAATTGGATTTGATGAAATAACAAATATGATTTAAAATCGAAGGAAATAATAAAACAACGATCAATCATGACAACATGCAATAATAATGATTACTGGCTAAAGGTGCAACAACGATCTATGTCGGAGGAGAAGAAAATAGCGGAAGATTGTATGTTTGACTATCATAAGACTGGTAGGTACGGGCAACGCCAAGAGGCGTTAATCTGAGTTGGAAGCCTAATAACGTCGTCATAACATGCAACACAATGCCTCCCACTCATGTTATTTGATGTTATGTTAAGAAATGTTATCATGTCCACGAGAAGTAACGTGAGCATTAACCAATCAAAAGCTATTTTCTCTTTCTCTCTCTAACTCTCTTTGTATCTTTTAACATGTTATAACATTTGAACATCATTTCCTACATAATTCATATGGTGTTAAGGATGACATGGCATGTGAGTTGGCAAATTTTGGGTATGATAACATGTCTTAACATGTTGCCCATACCCAATAGCCTAACAAATAATGTTTAAAAAATCTCTTCACAACATTGTATTGAAGGAATAATAATATAATACACGATCTACATTGTAATGTAATAAGTGAGCTACCCATAAACTCAAACCTAAATGTCCGTCTACACATTAGGACCGAGATAATTGTACTAGGTTTGATAAAATCAACCTATAAATTATGTAAATCATCTCAAGCGAAAAATAATAATAATAATTCGGTAAGTTTACCAAAGGCGAGGCTACATTAAGGTTAAGGGTGTCCATGGACACCCCTAATTTTATAATTTTTATGTAGATTATATAATAAAATTAAGATGGACACGTGTAGAAAAATAAAATGGACACCTGTGGTGCAAAATAAATAGAAATCTTTTAAAAGTTTTGAAATCTTTTTAACAAAATACAAGATTGCACCGATATATTAGGATCCTAACCAAAAAATCTTATTTGTAAATATTACTATCTGATTTCAGTCTTTAAATTACTAAAATATGGAGAAAAAAAAAGGAAGAAGAGTGATTGTAAAAACCTAAAAGAACAAAGATTATTTTTAAGTCACCGGCCACTGCTGTCCTCAACCTCTCTCCGCCGCTGCTGTTAAGTCGATTCTTTTTTGTCTTCGGTATGTTTTCACTTATTTCACTGCCATCTCCTCTGATTTCTTTATTGTTGTCATTTGTTGCCGTTGTATCTTACTTCTTTACATTCTTTGATTTTATCTTTTAAGTAACATCGTCTCAATTTCTGTCTCTTTCTCTCTTATTAAATTAGAATTTACAATGCATAAGATTATAGGAAGCAGGTCAAAGTCTATGTCTGCTATCTAGAAATTACTGGGACACTGGTTTGAAAATGAAAGCAATAGGTGATGGGTTAAAGTAGGCATACAAATCGGAAATCATAAGTTACTCTTATGTTTCTTTTCTCTTTTGTTTTAAACTTTTTCTGTATATTATTTTAATTTGATAATTTATTTAGGTTATGTGTTATTTTGATTTGATAATTTATTTAGGTTATATGTTATCTTGTACGTGGTATTATTTGCTTGTAATTTGGTTAATTAATAATATGGTTTGGTAATTCTAAGATTGTGATGATTATTTTTATTTTTAGGTATAATGTTATGGTTTTTAAAATTATGTTTGATTTTTGCTGTTAAATTTAATAAAATATTTTGCTTAGATGGTACTGCTGAAAAACCGACCCGATAACCAATTTTATCCATTTATTTTCTTTTCTTATCTAAGTTGGACACCCTTGAATTTAAATCCTGGATTCGCCACTGAAGTTTACTCGTTTTCTTTTATCAAACTGTAAATGCTCCTAATGTTTATAACCTAACTTTTGTTAGATAGGATGTCTCAATCTCATTATTAAATCGTGAAAAGAAAATCTTCCCATATATATATGAAAAGGAAAAATCATCAGATGCCATAATTAATACAAGAAGGTATTATAAGTCAAGTCAATCTAAAAAATAATTAAGTACTTCATATTTATGTACACTAAAACAATAATCAATCATGAATGTTTAAAACTTTTATCACCAGTTCACTATCATAAAGTTGAAAGATTTGACAATAGTAATACAATATATTTTTAAAATTATATCAGCTGATACAATATACATTTTAACTATAAAAAGTAGAACCGTTTAATTTGATATGTCTTTATCATTGCATATAAGATATATGTAAAATAATAGTATAATTAATTGGTTATATTAAATGCTTGAAAAGAATAATAGTAGTAAAATGAATAGAATTCAAGAATAAAGTTGAATTGCTTCTAACGCCAAAAAGGTGCATCGCGCAACCATAATTCACGAGCCACATGCAAGCGTACAAGTATACAAGTATACCAATACTGGAGTCTGGACACCGGATCTTGTTTACCCGCAAAATCAGTTCTTGTTTTCAGGTAGGGACACCCTCACATCACATACCAATCAATCACTGTTCACACAACAAACAGTCAAAACTTTGGAAAATCCCTTTTATTTCGAATCTAATCCGACCCTAAAACCCCCAATTCTGTTATACAATTCTGCTGACAACTTCTCCGATTTGTTCGTAAATCAACACCCAACGGTTCAATAACGATGAACTGATCTGAACTTTGAAGGAATCAAATTCACGATTTAGGGTTTAATCCGTTACTGAAAAATGTTGGCTCCAAGTCCATCTGGCAACATCCCCGGTACGACTCCGCTGCTTTACTCCGTGGAAGATGATCGAGGCCGCCGGTCACTCAGGCGACAGAGTTTACGTGATGCCGCGCGGTTTCTACGGCGAGCAAGTAGCCGGCGGATGATGAGGGAGCCGTCGATGCTCGTTAGGGAAACGGCAGCCGAGCAGCTGGAGGAGAGGCAGAGCGACTGGGCTTATTCGAAGCCGGTGGTGATACTTGATCTCGTATGGAACTTGGCGTTTGTTGTTGTAGCTGCTGTCGTTTTGGTTTTGAGCCAGGATGAGTCGCCGACGGCGTGGTTGAGGCTGTGGATTGTAGGGTATGCTGTGCAGTGTATTGTTCATATGGTGTGTGTTTGGAGTGAGTATAAGAACAGGCGTGAGCAGCGGTGGGGTGGTGGTGGAGAATCCGGTGACAGCGGTGACAGCGTCAATGGGTCCAGAGGAAATGGTAGCCAGTATGTTACATTGGCCAATTTGACCAATAATGACAACAGGTATGTACTTTCTATCTGCAAATTCAACAATACGAAGGATCTTCTTGTCTTGATTCAGTTTTAAATCATGACTTGGCTGTTTGTAGTAAGTATTGATGTCGTATCATTCTGATCCGATTGAAATGAATGATCCGTTTTGCAGTGGGGTGGCTAAGTATTTGGAATCTGCAAATACAATGTTTTCATTTGTATGGTGGATCCTTGGGTTCTATTGGGTTTCCTCAGGTGGGCAAGCATTGGCACAGGATTCCCCTAAGCTTTACTGGTAAAATTGACCTGCTTTTTTTTTTCTTGTATATATTTGTTAACTCAAGTGCAGATGATTGATTGATATTTGGAATGCATTGCAGGCTTTGTGTAATATTCTTGGCATTTGATGTGTTTTTTGTTGTTTTCTGCGTTGCACTGGCATGTGTCATTGGTATAGCAGT